TATTGGTATAATACACTTATTATCAGTTATTTTTTTAATTATAGAGCTAGATATAAAAAAATATTTTGAATAATAGTTATTTTGTTTAAAAAAATCTATATAATGATTTTTTCTTTTAATGCTGTCTACATGACAGTTTTTATTGAAGACATTTTGTTTTTTCGTTCATATCTAAGAGCAACACAAGTGACGATATCTTGTGAACATCTTGTGAAAATCTTATTTTATTGAATCTCACATTATCTCACATTAATTTGTGGTAATTAGCATAAATCTCTCGGCAATCTCTCGGATGACCTTGACCTCGACATATGTTGTCAAGATCATGATCCTGAATAACATCTAACAATAAGAGGTTTTAGCTTAGCATCGGTCGATGTTTATTAAAAAGTTATTAACAATTAAGTTGTACGATAAAAACAAGTATTAGGTACGATAATTTTTGTATTTCTCCGAGCATGAATGCTCCCCCACCCAAAAAAAAATTTAACCTGACGAAAACCTAATTTCAGTTTTGAAATTCAAGACCCGGTACTTCAGTGTGATACGGTCTATATTTGCAAAATTCCACATGGGTTTGCAACTTTCTATGTGAAGTGAGATCCATCCCTATTGCCCAGTGCTTTCAGTGTGACGAGGTCTATATTTGTAAAATTCCACTTGAGTTTGCAACTTTCCACGCCAAACGAGGTCCACTCCCATTGCTCGATATTGATTTCTTAAGTTACAGAACTATAGGAATGAATAATGTCGAAATAATCTAGGTTTATCCTCTTTATTACTTTACAGTAATCAAAATTTAATTATTAAATGTTTTGTTCAAAATGATGGCCTCCAGCCCGGAGACAAGCATTGCACCTATCGATAAGAGAACGAGTAGCTGATTGACATTGTGCGTCTATAATTTTTTCGCACGCTTGCGCTATCCTCCGTTTTAATGATTGTTAATTTTGTTTTAACTTTGTTTACAGTGCAAACACAAGCCTGTTAATGACCTTCCATCTTTAAAACAAAAAAAAAAGAAATATTTCGACATTATTCATTCCTATAGTTCCGTAACTTAAGAAGTCAATATCTCTTGAACGAAGCGTTTGCGAGCATACAGCCAGAGAAAAATGATTTTTGTCTTGAAATCCTGAATTTATGTTTCAAGTTTGGCTATTTAACCCGGGAGCACCCTATATATATATAACTCTACTTCTTAAAAAAATGACTGAGTGTATACACTTAAACCAAACACATTGCATACATGCGTTCAATGTATGTATATGCAATATCGAATACGTGCGTAAATTTATTTGTTAAGATGGTAATGATATCGTATGTACGTACAGAAGGCTGCACCTTTATGGTTTAAGATGCGAAAGATGAAATCGGAAAAGGTAGTATTGAGATGAATAAAAAATGAACAGCGATACTCTCCAACAATAAAGTTCAACAAAATTGCAATTTTCAATAAATGTAAAATGGACGAAATTCATGAATCTGTTTCTATAATTCACTTTTTATTCTATTCATTGATTTTTGAGATCAAAGCTTATTATCTGCAGAGATCATGATTTTATTTGTGATCGACGTCTACAAGATATTGCAAAAAATGGAATTTAATAATACGCTCTTCAAATGTAAAATTCATGAATCTGTTTCTATAATTCACTTTTTATTCTATTCATTGATTTTTGAGATCAAAGCTTATTATCTGCAGAGATCATAGAGATCATGATAATTGCGTTAATATGGTCTCTCTTTGCAATACGGAAAGTATACGCAAGGTTTTCTGCTCTATATCAAACGATTCCGCGTCTACATTTATGACATTTATGAATCGTTTCTCTTCTAAGGGTGCGAGCGATAAAAAAAATTATTTTCTCCAATTTGCCGAAGTATGTTCTACTTCTTTCCCAAGCAAATATACGTTTTGCACTTGTCTCATATAACTTAATTTTGTATCGTAAATGTAATGCTTCTTTATTTTAAGTTTCTCGCTCATATAATTACTTTTGCAGCACGTGGTCTTCTTTTTCATTTTCTGTTTAATGAATAAATGGACAGTGCATATCGCGATCTCAGAATAATGTGCGGCAGTTGAATGCGGAATGCGGGGAAATAAATTGAAATATGTGTCTATCGTCAACTATGGCGCTTGTATAGGTTCATTGACGCATAAAAGAGAAAATGAAAATTCAGAATAGACATAAGCTCTTGCTTTTTAAGAATATTGTCATTTGATTTCGTTGTTCCTTTTTTACCGCAATTTCTTCGCTTCTTTTAATCTTTAATTATAATTTTTTTCTCAATCTTTAATCAGTTTTATAGTTTGCTTTATACGTAAAAAACATCTATTTTAAAGTCAATTCAAAAGAGTGTAATTTATTCTCTGTAATTTATTTTTTGCGAAACTTCTGACATATTAAAACATTCTTTTTTAACGATACGTGTGTACAAAAGAACGATGTACGTGCGCCTTCAATATTTACATTTATGTAGAGAAAATGTATTTGGAAACAGTGATAGCTGACAATTCTTTGTTTTAGGATACGCGAACTCTCAACCGTTGCTTTTATATTTTATCTTCTGCCGCCGCGTACGAGAGAGAAAGACCAGAGTAGTTGTCTGCGAAATTCTCATATACCGGATATCTCACAAATTGAAATTTTTACGATTTCAACTAATCCGGCAAAAAGCATTGTGCGAAGATTGCCTCACGTTTACGAATATCTTCTATAGCCACAGACATATATTTTCCATCAGTCTTCTTATAGCAATGCCGCAGATATGATTGCCCCGAGCCCCGAGTTATTTTTACAGATTGTATTGTTCAAAAGGGAAGTCGTGAGTATTATATCTAATATAATATATGAGAGGTATATGAGAGAGAAGCAGTATATAAAACATACGAAAATATGTTACATTGTATTAATTAGCAACTGTATATGAAAACATTAAAGCGTGCTTTTTTATATGGTACTGGGACCCGGAAGCATGTTTTTTTTATCGCAAAACATTTTTACGATTTTTCAAACGCTTCTTTCTCTCTCTTCATCTCAATGTTTAACTGCCACTCGTACGATTTCTACGCTCCTGTATAAGAGATGCGGCGTTTACGAGAAATTTTTACTTGCCAGTCCTTTTTATTTTCATTTTCCTCTCTCTCTCAGTCTCTTCCGTCATAGTACATTGAATCGATCTAGATATAATCCATTTTAAAATAAAGTCATCTCCTGCATGCCATCATTGTAAGAGCACCGGCTGCAACAATTGCGTTATCTTGATTTATATGGTCTCTCTTTGCAATACGGAAAGTATACGCAAGGTTTTCTGCTCTATATCAAACGATTCCGCGTCTACATTTATGATTCTTTGTCATCGTTTCTCTTCTAAGGGTGCGAGCGATAAAAAAAATTATTTTCTCCAATTTGCCGAAGTATGTTCTACTTCTTTCCCAAGCAAATATACGTTTTGCACTTGTCTCATATAACTTAATTTTGTATCGTAAATGTAATGCTTCTTTATTTTAAGTTTCTCGCTCATATAATTACTTTTGCAGCACGTGGTCTTCTTTTTCATTTTCTGTTTAATGAATAAATGGACAGTGCATATCGCGATCTCAGAATAATGTGCGGCAGTTGAATGCGGAATGCGGGGAAATAAATTGAAATATGTGTCTATCGTCAACTATGGCGCTTGTATAGGTTCATTGACGCATAAAAGAGAAAATGAAAATTCAGAATAGACATAAGCTCTTGCTTTTTAAGAATATTGTCATTTGATTTCGTTGTTCCTTTTTTACCGCAATTTCTTCGCTTCTTTTAATCTTTAATTATAATTTTTTTCTCAATCTTTAATCAGTTTTATAGTTTGCTTTATACGTAAAAAACATCTATTTTAAAGTCAATTCAAAAGAGTGTAATTTATTCTCTGTAATTTATTTTTTGCGAAACTTCTGACATATTAAAACATTCTTTTTTAACGATACGTGTGTACAAAAGAACGATGTACGTGCGCCTTCAATATTTACATTTATGTAGAGAAAATGTATTTGGAAACAGTGATAGCTGACAATTCTTTGTTTTAGGATACGCGAACTCTCAACCGTTGCTTTTATATTTTATCTTCTGCCGCCGCGTACGAGAGAGAAAGACCAGAGTAGTTGTCTGCGAAATTCTCATATACCGGATATCTCACAAATTGAAATTTTTACGATTTCAACTAATCCGGCAAAAAGCATTGTGCGAAGATTGCCTCACGTTTACGAATATCTTCTATAGCCACAGACATATATTTTCCATCAGTCTTCTTATAGCAATGCCGCAGATATGATTGCCCCGAGCCCCGAGTTATTTTTACAGATTGTATTGTTCAAAAGGGAAGTCGTGAGTATTATATCTAATATAATATATGAGAGGTATATGAGAGAGAAGCAGTATATAAAACATACGAAAATATGTTACATTGTATTAATTAGCAACTGTATATGAAAACATTAAAGCGTGCTTTTTTATATGGTACTGGGACCCGGAAGCATGTTTTTTTTATCGCAAAACATTTTTACGATTTTTCAAACGCTTCTTTCTCTCTCTTCATCTCAATGTTTAACTGCCACTCGTACGATTTCTACGCTCCTGTATAAGAGATGCGGCGTTTACGAGAAATTTTTACTTGCCAGTCCTTTTTATTTTCATTTTCCTCTCTCTCTCAGTTTTCCTTGCTTAAATATTTTATCTTGTATGTGCACGAGAAACAACTCTGAAGTCTGACGTCTCGTTAAATATCCCACCCGTGTAACATTCCGCGTGAGAAAAGAAAATAAAATAAAAGAGGAGTCGTATATAAAGATAGTGTTTCTATTCCGTAGCAGTGTTTTAATAAATAAACGGTGAAATTCATAATGAGATCTCATAATCGTGAAAATATTGATGGAATACTTGCATTTGAAGGAATACGAATAACACACTATCTGGATAGACACAGATTTATATGTATACGTGTAAGAAAAATGAATTTAATAAGTTCTTTATTTCTCGATTGGGAATGCGAGAAAAGTCGTGGAGAACACAAGCCGCGGGACAAAGACGATTTCGTCTTAGCGACTCGCTTTTCGTCGCATATACAAAGCTACTGTATATATACAAGTGAGGATAAGTAATCGCCGTTTCAAAGTTCGTCGCTTCGGAAAGAACGTTCGATGACGTTGGATAAGCGAGTTGGCGCCGCGTCCAGCGTAGAGCGCGGTACGGCTCTCTCTGTCACGCCACGTTATTTCGATTCTGCGTATTTTCGACGTTCTCCACCTTCCTGTTACCGTCCCTCAGAAGTTCTTGAATTTCACGGAACGTCCGTCCCTTGGTCTCGGGCACGACAAATATCACCATTACAAACGCGAATAAGCACGAAGCCGCGAAGAAATAGTAAACGATGTCGGCGCCCAGCGAATCGCCGATCACCTGGTACAGCTTGGAGACGACGAAGCCGAGCACGCCGTCAAAGATGGTGATGATGGCGCCGGCTAATCCTTTCACCTCAGTGGGAAACAATTCGCCGATCAGCGCGCTTGGCAACGTGCCCAACCCGATCTGAAAGGTCACCTGAAAGGCGATCACGTCGACCACCGGAAGGAGATTCGCCGCGGACATGTCCACGCCTCGTCCGTCCAGCATAAGGTATACCGCGAGGATCGCGAGGGTAACGGAGGAGCCCAGGGTGGAGGCTATCAGTAGTGGACGTCTGCCCGCGCCTTCGACGGTCGCGGTTGATAATCCGGACGAGACAAGGCCCACCGCGAGGACGAGTATTGTAGCCATGTTGGAGTCGATGCCGACGGCCACCTTCTTGAAGAGTACTTCGAGATACTGCATAGTACTGAAGTTCCCGCTAAGCTGCTGCGCCATGATGAGACCGAGAACGATGCCGAGAGCACGGACATTGCTGGGCGACAGCATCAGCTTCAGCTTGACAATCCAGCTGCGCTTGACCGGTTCCGTTCGCGCCCCAGGACCGGTTGACGGAATGTTGTCGCAAACGTCCTCGAACAAATTGTTACGCAAAGAGTGCTCCAGCTCTCTTCTAGCCTCGTCACGATCGCGTATCCCTTTGAAGAACGCCAGAGACCTGGTGGCCTCCGCTCTGCGACCCCTGGCCGCGAGAAACGCGGGAGTCTCTGGAAACCAGGAAAAGCACACCACGAAGAGGATGGGTATTGCGAGTTGTATAGCCGCTAGAACCTGATAAGACACCCAGGGACTGATACTGCACGTCAGTAAGGAGCCGGTAAACACGTTCACGGAGATCAGAGTGCCGAGGGCGCCCCTAATACCGACGTCGGCTACTTCCGACACGTACATCGGGTTGGCGGTATACGACATACCCACGCCGATGCCCAGGATTATCCTCGAGATATAGAGAGCCGCGACGCTCCGAGCGAAGAAGACGACTGTCCAACCGACGATGAAGAAACCGCTAGCGAACAGAAGAGATCTTTTACGGCCGTATCGATCGGCGAGGCCCGCTCCGAGGAATGGACCGATCATCGAACCGATCACCGTCAGCGATACGATCCACGAGCTCTCGTCTTGGGTAATCCTCACTGGAACGTCGCTGTCGCTGGACATGAGTCGCGAGAGAGACGTGGTGGTCCATCCATAAACAGTACCGACTGCTACCATGGATAGAGTCGCTGAAGAAAATGAGGATTGATGGAAGATTAATGGCGCTTTGATTAAACAATTAATCGTCACGCGTCACTTTTAAACACGCGATGTTTCATGAAATATAACGCAAACCTGATATACATGCTAGCCATTGCCTCCATTGTGTGCGTTTGCTATGGTGACGCTTGTCCTGGGAAGACGAGGCTTGCATCACGATTTCCTCTTTCGGCTCGCCTTCCTTTAAGGCACCGATCTATAGTGGAAACAAATATTAATCTTTTTTTTAGTCAGGTTAGAAGCCTTCACGCTATTATGTGAGGTTTATAGCTACTTAAACGGAAATTATAAATAACGTAACATTTTTTTCTGCTTAATGCAGAAGAAAATTAGATGCCATTGTTTTAAATGATAAATCTTGTGGCAACTGCAGCTATTGATAACAAATCAACCACTATTGCCAATATGATTTATGAAATATTTCCGTGAGTGAGCTCGAATGTTATTATCGAATCGGAATAGAGCGGAGTGATATTCGCGAATGCGAATCTCCTTGAGCGTGACGGAATGTAGAAATTCTTTCTCGAAGTGAGAAGCAACAGGTGATAGTGATTAATGTGGTGTGCAAGGAATCAAATGGAAACCGCGTTCTTCTCTCGAAGAACTCGGACATACCGCGAGAATAATCTGCGTAAACTACATCAAGCTGCGGAAAAATTATTCTCGGTTTCATTCAATAGCCGGCTCTCTCGGAGGAGAATTTTTCTTTTAATTGTCAAGTTAACATAATGCATCAAGGAAACATTCGCAAAGCGCGGTCTCGCGTAGATTTCCCGTTCTCCGTATGAGCAAAGCGCCACTATAAGGTCGCCGATCGAATGCACATGCGCGCTACTATTTTCGAAGCGATACGTCACTCTTCTGCGTGTTTGCGTGTTTGCCAGCGACGCAATCTAAGAGAGGATCTCATCACACAGTCATAATGGCAGCTACACGGACCTATCGAGATAGTTCGGTGCACGCGAGAGCATCGGCGAAGCCGAATAAGCGAGCGAGCGAGGCAAACGGTGAACATTTCTTGCCATTCGTTTCGTTGCTACTCACCAACGTGTTTGCGCTCCTCGTGGCTTTTCGGAGCCATCGCATGCATTTGCCCGCAAGGTACAAAGCGGCATTGAACGGAATACCCATTTTTGACTTCGCCGCTGGACGAACTGTCTCGAGTTTATTTCTCGTGATCGCATGTCGACATCACAAACATACCGACATATACGTGTATTTAATGCACGTAACGGAGAACACACAAAGCGCATATCACGTTACGCGACACGCCGATGGAGGTCAATGAGTACTGTCTCCATTCTCTAAATGCTGAATCATTCCGTTTCAAGTTCTGAGTTGCATGGCTCATCGCAAAATATAATATGTATATTTGGAAAACTGATTCAAGTTGGGTCATATTTGGACAAACACTTTTCACTTTGTGTGGATGGATATGGATAAAGGATTGAATTTCTTGGTTTGCATGAGCTATTTCAAGTACTGGCTTGAAATATGACGCTCTGTGTTGATGAATAACTCTACAACTTTAGCGAGTTTAGTTCGCTGAGAGTCATAATCTTAAAATGTGATATATATAGATTAAATTTTACAAAAGAAATAATTGGTAAATTATATTGGAATCTCTCGTGTGTATATATTTCGTTCGTATATTCCAACTTTATTTGGAGCAGCGATGTATAGGAATGACATTTTCGAAATTATAAAATATAAATAGTTTTGCTAGTGGATCATCAACCTTTTCACGCGTCTGCAATCGAAAAAAATAAGGAAAAATTTCAGAATTGTTTGCCAGTGGATATACAATACCGGTGCATCTCATGTGCGTACGGGTGCGCGCACGCGCGTCACGTTTCCGTAAAAGCGTGATAACGCCGTTTTCTTCACGTGCACGCGCGTTCGCTGCGTACGCCTACGCAGATATAACCTCAGAGTCGGAGCGGATTTTATCTGGCACGCGGTACGATACGGAGAATCTCGGGAATGCCAAATGACAAATGTCTCGATTTCGATGAAGCGAACGAGTCGCGAGATTGATACTCACAAGCGGGTCCATTGTTTCAGTCATGCCTCCTCCGCTCCGATTCCTTTAAACGGCGCTAACCCGCGATCTAAGTGCAACGTGCCACGATCGACCAGCTCCTCCGTCCCAGATTCGATAGAGGCGACCACTTTCATGTTTTCGTCGGTATTAACTTTGGACCATGTTTATGGAACCGGATATGTCGGAAAATGCGCAGGCGCCGACATCGCGTCTGCTTTCACGTTCGCGTACACATATGATCGTCTTCATAATTTTATTTTTTTCCGCTCACTCTCTGGATATTCCGCGTTTCTATATTAACCGCGATATTTATAATCGTCCAGACGGCAAAGGTTATCGGTTGATGATCCCTCAATTGCTTCGTTGCAATGATAAAGAAATTGAGCGATGATACCAAGAAACGATCCATGTAGATGATTTTTTTGAATTAAATTAGAAAAGCCATAGAATTTGATAAACAGAATGTAAACGCGCCAAAATTTGATTATTGAATACTAATTGGTTATGTTAGTAAATGCGATGATTATTATGCAATAAAATTGTAATTGCAATCTGCGCCATGTATTCATGCAACAAAACTACAGAAATGTTCGAAGAATATTTGCGATGGATTGTTATCCAATATTGTACTATAATACTCTGATATGGCCAACAGTTATTGAAAATCATTGATTTATGGGTCACGGAGCGACCGTGCGATTACAACTAATAATAAGAGCTATTTAATTATCTGAGTATTGAATTAACGATTGGCAGTAACGTTTCGATTTCGTCTGTTTACGCGGTAACGAGAGAAATCGGAGCAGAGCGGCGTATTGCAACTGCGCGAGCAAAACTGTGTCGCTTACATTTGTAATTGTAGCCATGTGAGACGAGAATGGAACGGCTGTCCTATTTTTCCTGGCGATTCCGGAGTTGCGGCCTTTGACGCAATGAACTCAACAAGTAGTTTTCTTCAAGTTTTATCGAATGCCCTTAATTTCAGATCATTCATGTATTGATACTTTCATCTTTGGAACACATACGTCGCTTTTACTTATTTAGTTTTCCGAACGTTTGTGCTGTTCACAGCTTTTCAGAGAACGATTTATTAATTATTGTATGTATTTTTTTCAAGTATTTTATATAAAAGAATTATACAAGGTATAATATCTATTTTACAATTGGAAAGATCGCGTTCACAAAAATTATCACCGATATTATGTTCATGGCAATCGCGTGTAACACTTTAACGCATAAACTGAAAATATAAAAACTAATCTATTCAGCCTTTATTACTTCATTTTTTTTTTCATTCGTGGCTTTATATTTTCTGTTATCAGTGTCGCCGCGAAAATTCCGCGATTAACTAGTAGTCGTTTATCACTTGCAGCCTCGTTTTCCTCGATGTTTCCACCGCTCGCAGCTAACAGGCACTGGTGACTTCGGAATTCGAATTCGAGCCGACATCGGAGTTGGTCGCGTCTTATCGATATGTGTGATTCAACGAAGAGATCTAGAGAGATCTATTTATCTGTTACTTCATAATTAACTTCGAAGACGCGGCACAGATGACGACCCATCACCGCCCTCGTGCCATCCAATTGGCCTTAATACGATTGTTGATTGTTAATTGCAAGCCAGTACAATTATACGAGCAGCTCTAGAGATAACAACTAGACTCACGGGTCTTCTTCTTTCATTAAGTGACGATAACGTGATGAGCAACAGACGGTTATACTGTTCTCTGACGTTGATGCGACTCATCGTTCAGGCACGAAGAGGAGATGCATCCTAGAATGTTTCCTTTGTTCCCTTATCTCTCGCGTGTTCACCACTATCTCGACGATGTTGGGCCCATATGTTTGCCCCCGTATGTAGCCTATGAAGACGCGCCGCGGCTTATCTCGCGTCGCTCGTCTGCGATCCGTGTGCGTTCTCAAATAAACCGCGACGACAAGCAATATAACTGATAATTAGCGTCTATTAAAGAGAGGTGTCAAGCGGCAAGTCTCGAGAATCATTCGATCGACTCTCGCAGCACGATCTATTCCAATCTCGTTTATCATCATTGAAATCGAGATCAATTGCGGAAACGTAGACTCGTAAAGAGAGAATTCTCTACCGTATCATGTCCAAGAGAAATGAAGGATACAGCAGTTTTTTTTTGCCGACTTGTTTTACTATTTAGTATATATATAATATTTGTTCTATTTCGTGTTTTTTGAACAACGCACGATAGAAATTGTATCTTTGCATTCTTTCAGGTAATTGGCCCGAAGACCACGCTTTAACCTTGTCAATCTTCGATTATACCGATGAAAAAAAGAGATTGATTGTGAATCGGTCAGGGGTCTTAATCGTGCGTTTTCGGCGATCCAATAACGAGAACAACAAACACAGGATGCGTCAAAGGGATTTATTGCGTTTCAGAGTTAAGCTGATCGCGTTTCAGAGCGAATAGTTTCGGTTCTCTTGGAATACGTGTGTGATCCAGGATAACCTCACGTTTCAAAGCTACGGCTTTTGCAACAGTTTCTGATAATTCATAGAAACACTTTCGATGAACACAAAGGTGTCGAGTAAATTGATCTTTAACTGCTATCATAAACACTTACAAAAACAAACAGACTCTGTGTGTATATGTGTATAATAGACTAGTAGATTAATTTAAATTATGAAACATATCTTGATAGCAAACATTTTCTAAGTTTCGTATTCAACATATCTTATCGTTAAAGAAGGGCAAATTTAAAAGAGCAAACTTAAAAAGATCTTTTGGCTTTAGAAACTTGTATGTTTTTTTAATAATAATATTATTGATATTGCTTTCATATATAATAATTACCATCGATAATCATTATTTACTTGAACAGTTTATACATTTAAGATTTAGTAGATTGTTTTCTTGCAAAAGAATTACTGATAGACGTTTTAATTATGAGTATGAAAGCTGTCATACTGCAATTTACTATGTCTTGTAACTAATAAGACCTACTGTCATTCAACATGTGTGTCAACTTAATTAATCATAAGAGTGACGGATCAGGCTTGACATATTATTAACGAGCAGCGAACGTCACGTTGCGCTTGTTCCATGATTAATTCCTATGCAAGCTTTGGTTTCGATTGACAAATACACGAGTAATTTCAATGTGATAGAAATTTATATCTGTAAACAGAGAGAAACTGCATTCTCAATTGTTAAAAATGTTTTGACAGGAAACCGCATTGATTTGGATTCAAACAGCTATGATTGATATACATATGTATACTCTACGTTTATAAAGATATAATAAGAAATCACATATAGATTTAAATAATGTGAAATCGTTTAATAGATTGCTTGAGTATAAAGTACGTGTTAATGAATATACATACATGGTTCTAATAATTTTTTTACTAAAAAGTTGTCGAATATTTGATCATGTAGTCTAATATTCTCGATGAAATTGTTATTGTAATACATTTTATGCTCGTTATGCCACGAAACAAATATTGCCTAAAACCATCATTCTAAATCGATAATTTATGATTACTATCGCTCACCTTGCAACTGATTGCTTCGAGAAGTGATTTCTCCACCGTCATTAGTAAGATAGGAATATTATGATAATGACAGAGAGACATTCATAAGTATTTCTTAAATGACTTACAAACAATTACGAGATTTGCTGATTTGATACCTCCTGTTTACTTCTGCTAAACATGCAATTTTGTTTACTCCTGAAACATGCGATAATAGCTAAATAAAACATGAGGTATTAAGGATCTCGATGATCCATCGAAAATACTCCTGGACTCTGAAATTAACTAATAATAAGTAATATCTACTCCATTCTTCATTAGTTTTACGCATCGTTATTTTATATTTTATCCTTCAGATTTATTTTATTCATTATTTCTAAGTGACAGGCAACCTTGCGCGACGTTATCGTCTTGAGAAAGATTCGTACTGAACAACTGTCCATTCCTCTCTCGCTCTCTCTCTCTCTCTCTCTCTCTCTCTCCCTCTCTTTCTTTCTCTCTCTCTCTCTCTTTCTTGAGTAAAGTAATAGCAAGTTACCAGACTTAATGCATTTCGCGACAAATTGCTTCAGCCGGTGTCCCTTGTAATCACGTAAATTGTCATTATCTTAACTGTTTCTGTACAACATAATCGAGTGCTCTGCCGGTTGCACGAGGTGGATCTTAACGCCGCGCGTTTCGCGTCGGTCTCGGCGAGAGATCGCACGAGCATCATTCGCTAGCATCGGCTGGCTGCGTTCATTTCCCCGCGAACGTGAAGTTAATTAAAGTAATCCTCGGTTAATCGGCGTCGCCCGGAGTCCGCGTGCTCGCACGCTCATTACGTCGCCTTTATAAATGCGAGTGCGCGAAGTGCCTGCCCCGCTTGGTGTGATTAAAATTTAAAGCGGCGCGCACGACATTTGTACTCAACGAGACGAGCTTAACGAAAATATCGACCTCCTCTTCTCCAGCTTTTTTTGACTTTTCCATGCGCTTTGAATCAAAGAGCGTACGTTTATTTGCTTGTCCGCTTGCTGAACATTACGCATTTGTCATACCGCAAAGAGAAAAGAACAAAGAGAATAACACGGTGACACTTTCAATAGAGATATATAAAAAAATTTTTCTTTATATTTTTGCGATATATTCATGGAAAAATCTAAAACGTTTTCCGTCCAGCGACTAAACGGTTAATCCGATTATAACGATTTATGTTACAGAAAAAAGACGCGTTCCATTTAGCTCCTGTGCGAGCAATTACAAATTGTTTGTTAAAATGTTATAAATATTCATATAACTTATTGAAATAGTATTTTTACTCAATTTTTCTGTAATTTTGCATATTATCGTTTTGTATATTTCTCCATATACGTTACTCAGCTCGAGTGCATAAAGCACTATGTTGCGAAATACAGTGTGACATCCAAAGCTTGTACAACGAATTCGATGAAATATCGACGTTCCAATCCCCTGTGTTCTTTTAATCTTTTTTTTTCTACCTCACTTGCATTGATAAATCCATTTATCTGTCCGGAGCAGCGAGACATCCATTAAGTCTCGTTTTTCCATATCAAAGAATGAAAGTTAATCAAAGAGAAGAGAAACATATGTGTTTGTTATCTTCTTATACATATATATAATATTTCATAACATTTTATCAAAATCTAAAAAAAAAATGGATATTGAAAAAGATTTTTGTAAGATTTACGGTTTCCTTCGTAAAAATGTACAGAAGCCGGTTTGATTAAATTCGCATTGGTATGAATTTTGCCTTGGTCAGGTTTCAGATGAGTCACGTTCGATTTTGCGGCACTATGACGCCATAACGAGTGCGCTACACGTCGTATTATGCGAAATAAATCAGCGCCGATGCCGGATTATGTAAGACATTAATCTTTTCGAGACGCGCGATTTTTCACCCTCTTATTGATCTCCCAACAAGAGCAATGACTTTTGACGTTTTACGGGCCTGCGGACGGTTACACGTTCGCGATGAAAAATTCATGAGACGCTAGGTAACGCGTATGTAACACGCTTGCCGTACATAAGACATAGTATGCGGTAATCCCTGATCTGTATCGGCTTTGTGTCACGTGAATCATAACAGTTGTAAAAATATTCCATCAGATTATTAATGGATACTCTACTCTTGCAGAGAACATATATACAATGTCATAAAGTTATGTATATTTTTTGTACATTATTATTATTTATTTACATGGTTTCGAAAATATAAAAATCGGAAGAAACAAAGAAAAAAAAGAATCAACTCTTTCAGCAGAGCCGGCTACATGTACATTATCTGTTATATGTATATACACTCTTCTAAATTCTCATGAATTGCTCGGCGAGGATTAATAAGAGTCAGCCGTTGTTGTAACTACGTAGACACATATATCTCTTATATTAAAATTAATCTTTTTAATCGTCTTATTTATGAGGACACGGTTTTCTCTATCATGCTTGCATTTTATTTTTCCCTAACATACTTATATTTTATTACTTTACTTTTGATACTTTATTTAAAACTACGTCGTTTAAATTAAAACGAATTGTTGATAAAGCTTTGTGAAGAGCCATTGGCGCATAAAGCATTTATTCAGAATATTTGTGGCTCTTTAAAAAAACCGCGAGAATGTTGGTTCCTCTTTAACGGTTTCTCTTCAACGTGTAAGAAATTAATTTATTTAAAAACGCAAATATTTTCTCAGTTGCAAAACCCGAAACGGAATAAAAACTGCCTGTGTTTATTTATGTTTTATTTATTGTTTACTGTTCTTCACAATGCATATAGCTGATATTATCCACGTTAATCGATACTGAAATTTTAATAATAAAAAGTAAATTAGCATATGTGTGTGTGTGTCGATTATTATTGTAACGATCTTTGTGCAAGCGTAAAATTTTCAATTTAGAAAGCCGATTTGCATCATCAAACGAACTGCTTATAGTCTCGGTGTAAGCCACACATTCACAACAATGACAACTTATACAAACCATCTGTGATTTACTAACAGAATTGACAGTCGCTAAGCTAAGCTGCATAATGTTGCGATGTTAAGCCGCATAAGCTCATGCAACTCTTGCTTTCTGTTCAATGTGTAGATTAACGGCTATGATGCAATTTACGGATGAATAGATGCAAATCAATTGCGAAATATATAACGATAAATTAGCAAACGTCAAGTTAATCGACCCGTTCAAACTCTATTCGTTTCAAAAACTTACTGTTCCGGATTTATAATACGTTTCATACGTTTTGTTGGATCTTTTTTAAAGGCAGATTTTTTTAGCAGTTTGTATGATGTAAACAAACAACTAAGTTGCAAGATTTTGCTTTTCTTTATCGTCAATTTTTAGAACAATAATGAAATTTGCATGAGAAGCAGCAACAAAGTTATGATGCCGATAAAAAAAATTGTTTAAAGGGTGTTTCCGCGATTTCATAAAAACCGTATACATAATGTTATTGATAAAACATCTGCTAAATGTATATTTTCAACTATTCTATCAAAGTTATCTCAGAATGATGTGGCGTACTGAAATGAGAACTGTGTTTCGCGCTAACTCTCCTTTTTCCGCATTTTCTTCGTAACGAGCGCCAATTAGATTTGCCTTTGCATTTTTCTCAGATTCGCTAATAGCGAAGATTACGTGAGTCTCGACGCACACATGTTTATGCATTAATCCAGTGCGGCGCCGTAATTTATCGGAGCGTGTAGTTAGTTAGTCGCGAATGAAAGTCATACATATAACGTAATCTCTAATGAGGAGCCATGCCAAGACTAAATTTTTACTCCTTTGATGTGATATACGTGTACATATACATTATACGCATACATTGCTAAACCGAGCATATATGTATATTGTACTACATGTATACTATATGTGTATGTTATAAGGTCGAATAATTAAAACTACTGTAAGCAATACTGAATATTGATGAAATAAAAATTAAAAAAAAAATTATGCAATTAAAGTGAACTCTGATCAAGTTATACAAATAAATCAAATTACAAGCGCTCGCGAAGCGTTTCGTGACAATCGATATCGTGCGTGTATGTGTGCGCGTGTCTTTTTATCAAAAATATACTAAAATCATGCGCGACACATGATTTCGTATTTTAATTATCTTCGCGGTTTAATAGACTCTGAAGGACTTACCTCACGCGGGGAGAAGGATTTCGTCGTCAAAATGGCACATCCATCCTCGTTGTCTTCGCTGTTGTCGTGGAAGCGACAGTAACTTAGTTGCAATTTAATTGTCGCTCGTCGCTTTACGCATCTAACTGAGGTAGAGTCTGACTACAGAAGTGATGAAGAAACACAGAGTGCGACGAGGAGAGCCGAGAGGAAACGGGAGTGCGGTGTGAACAGAAGGAAAAGAGCTTAACTTTACTTCGAAACTTTGGCGAGCGAGAGCCGTCCTGCGGGAAATCAGTGTCTAGCTCTTCAAAGGGAAAAGTCGAAGGAAGACGAGTGATCGTGTATATATGTACACGTGGATCGTTTTACGTGTAATGGTTACTGACTACCTCCTGTCTCTGTTTCTACTTCTGCGACTCCTTCTCGCGGACTTTTCGCCCGCTGTTTTGCCGATTAAATTTCAAGATATTTGGGATGGATTTGCAGAGTGCGGGACGATGAAGGAACACTTTCGAGTAATTAAATAGGAGATTTGCATTTTACAAAGCAATAAGTTACACGAGAATCCTTACACGAAACCAAAGCCCTAATTCGAGTCGTGGCACGCGTTTCTCTGTCGTGCTCCTTTCTATTCCTTTCTTTTTATACAAATATAAAGACGGTAAGAATTGTAAGAATAAAAAGCATAATGTGTCCTTTCCTACGTAGAAGATTGTTCCCGAGCTAATTCTACATGAGAAAATATTCGCACGGCGTATATCTCTACGCTGTCGAACAAAAGTACGAATATCCTATAAAAAATAAAATCTTGCGACAACGATATTAAAACCAAGAAAGTTTTAATCTATTGCTTCGCAAAATTCATTGCAAGATACTTATTTATATATATCTAATAAAAAGATATAAAGTTTTCTTTATATCTGTATTAAAAATGCTTTTCCTCTCGGATGTATTTCGACTTTTGTTCGGCAGAATGCGCGCAATTTCATCAATATTCGCACTCGCGTTTATGAAGAAATGGCTCGAATTTTAATGGAAGACTGGAAAAGGACGATGTCGTTGTTATCGACGGTTTAAGAAAAAAAAAGAGAAGAAAAACGGACAAGATAATAGCACCGCAGACGCACGATCAGGTGCGACGTGCAAAGTTAGCCACGACATCGAGATTCTTTTTCTGAGAATTATACATAGTTAGCACCTAAAAAGTTCATCATCGCTCGCACAAAGATAGTGTGTGGTCACACACAGTTGATTAGCTTAGTGATTTTAGCTTGATCCACAGCTCGAACTTTAATTCGTAAGTTTGATTCCGTCATTAAACGACTAGCCTCCGCGCTAGTTTGATTCGCTCTCACGGTAGTTTTATTCTCTATGATAGCGAAAACAGGATGCTAACTTCCTCAGTAGCATCGTTCAAGCAGCACGATTAAAGTTCATCGCGATTTCGAGCTATCACCGCCCTTCGTAAACACTTCACCTAACCAGTCTTTCGTCTCTCCGGACTATGATTCTAGTTTGTCACTTTCATGTTAGTTTCGGTCGTATACGCTAAATACGGGCGGGTTTACGTTTTACTCGACGTCTCGGTATGCGAAAGTCCATCCATTACCTGGTCCATTGATCCTGTTTCAGTCGTGTTTTCGTCGTTTTGATCGGACCCGAGGTCCGATAACGGCTCGGATCAATCACTGTGAAAGAAAAAAGTTTTTCTTGTAACCAAATCGGACAGCAAAAATTATTCACGGTTAACAAACGTGAATATAAAATTGATTTTAAAACTCTTACATTTAAAATTATTGTTTTATATATTTTTGATTATATTATTTCACATACACTATATTCCTTTTTTTCCTTCTCATCTCTTTCTTCTTCTTCTTCCGCTTACCTATCACTATTCTCGCTGGTGGCTTCCTCGCTGCAGTCCAAGTCGAGTTCACCTTGAATTGCGCTCTGCAAGTCGTCGATCCTCTGTAGCGCCAATCTGAGATCGTCTCTAGCCACTTTGGTCTCAGCCTCTGCGGCTTCCAAAGATTTCTCTGTGTCGCGACGAGCACGTAGGGCCTCCTGTTCGCGCGATATTGCCGCGCTGGCTTCGTCGCGCGCGTCGCGCAAGGATCGTTGCAGTCGTCTCGCCGCGTCTTGAGCAGTCTGTTCTTTCGTTCTAAGTAAGGCTGATTCCGTCTGTAACTTATCTACGCTCTCCTTCAATCGTGCTATTTGCGTCTGCGAAAACAGAAGCAAATAATTAACGTCAGTTAACTAAAAAAATCACTTTTTGGAGTAAATTAATTTGACAAGTTATGTGTCACATTATTAATATTCAATTATTTTTTTATAATATCGGTATTCTTATACGATTCTTTCTGTGACATATAATAGATTATTTTTGACAATTAGGTATAATATGAGTTTGCTAATTTGACGGCGGTTACCTCCAAACGCGCTCTTGTGGTTTGTTCCAGTTCTAGCTTGCTCTCGAGCTCTTTGGCTCGGAATTCCAGGCGTCTTGTGGCAAGACTGTTTGCCGTAGGATCGCCGAGTTGCTCCACTGATTCTAATCGTTGCGCCAGTTCCGCTAGTTGGTCCTTCAACGATGACTTTTCTGCCTCGAGTGCGGCGATTTGCACTTGTGCTTCTTGCAATTGGCTTTGCTCCGCGGAAACTTGTTGCACGGCGGCTCGATATTTTTTTAAGACCTTTGCGATTATAATAAAAGAGATGCATGTGCAAAATCATTTTACACTCGTATAACTTTCATGCCACGTTTATAAATATAAAGTATTATTCTACAAGTCTTAACAGTGGTATTTCACAAACGTTGATTATTATTGATTAATTATTTTAACTTTAATTTACTGTTCTTTTAGGACTCGGAATAAAATAACATACCTCAGCAAGCTCCTCTTCGTTTTCCTCTAACTGGGACAGCAGCTCCGTGCGTTCGCGATTGGCCGCATTAGCCCGCTCCTCTGCCTCAGAACGTTGTCGCATAGCCTCCTCTAGACTCGCTTGCGTTTCATTCAGTTCCTGTTCTAACGCCTGTTTCGCTTTAATCGCCGCTGCTCGAGCGCATTCCGCGTCTTCCAATTGATTCTTCAATTGACGCAGCGCGGCTTTGCCCGTCGAATCGCCTTTGGATCTCTCAAGCATCGTCTGCGCATCTCTGAGTAAGGCCTTTGTCCTCTTCAAGTCTCTTTTCAATCTGTTTCATTATACACGCAACGCGTATCGTTAAATTACTTTTATTTTAGATAGAAAAATGGCAGAGTTTGATGAATAGGAACGCGAGTTCAGTTTTTGATACTTATCTCTGCATAGTCTCGGCCTCCGCCGCGCGATCGGCTCGATCTTGTTCCTCCAGAGCTACCAAACGACGTTCCAATTCGTGTTTTTCCCTCAAAAGGATCGTCCTCTCCTCGTGCTCGTTTTCCAACTGTGATTCGAGGGCCTTAACTTTCTTGTGAGCGCTTCCGCGAACGTCTTCCAGTTCCTCGTCGCGCAGTTGCATCTCCTTACGCATCTCCTTGCGCTGCTGTTCGATGCTCATCTCCAATCTGAGTTTCGCCTGTTCGAGCAGCTGCACCTGGCCAGCTAAATCGTCCAGCTCCTCTTCTTGATCCTTGGCGCGTTTCTCCAGCTCGTGTTTCGCTTTCTTCAGCTGCGCGACTTCCTCTTCCATCTCTGAGTAAGGCCTTTGTCCTCTTCAAGTCTCTTTTCAATCTGTTTCATTATACACGCAACGCGAATCGTTTTTTATTCGAATTACTTTTATTTTAGATAGAAAAATGGCAGAGTTTGATGAATAGGAACGCGAGTTCAGTTTTTGATACTTACCTCTGCATAGTCTCGGCCTCCGCCGCGCGATCGGCTCGATCTTGTTCCTCCAGAGCTACCAAACGACGTTCCAATTCGTGTTTTTCCCTCAAAAGGATCGTCCTCTCCTCGTGCTCGTTTTCCAACTGTGATTCGAGGGCCTTAACTTTCTTGTGAGCGCTTCCGCGAACGTCTTCCAGTTCCTCGTCGCGCAGTTGCATCTCCTTACGCATCTCCTTGCGCTGCTGTTCGATGCTCATCTCCAATCTGAGTTTCGCCTGTTCGAGCAGCTGCACCTGGCCAGCTAAATCGTCCAGCTCCTCTTCTTGATCCTTGGCGCGTTTCTCCAGCTCGTGTTTCGCTTTCTTCAGCTGCGCGACTTCCTCTTCCGTTTTGCCACCGAAAGTGAGCTCCTCCAATTCTTGGGTCAATGTGCGAAGTCTCTCCTCCTTTAGTTCAATCTCTAGTCTTGCGTCCTGTTATAAAAGTGATAATATATGCAGATATACGCGATATCGCATTCATCTATCTGAAGCTGGGAAAACGAAAAAAAATGGAGATAATAATAAGAAAAATACTCACGCTGAGATTTTGCTCCACTGTGAATTTTTCCGCGATCGCAATCTCCTTTTCTCTCGCTAATCTTTCACGCTGTGCTTTCTCTTGTCTAAGGTCGTTCATCAAGTTCTGAGTTTCCGAATCAAACCTAAATGCATTTATTACGATCATTAAATGAAAAATATTTAATAACTTTATTACAACATAATAATTTTATATTATTTATATACAAAAAATTAAAAAATTTATATAGATGTTTCGGAGATATTAACAACGTTTAGTCGTGAAAAATTTTCTCATATTCATAACGTACAATTCAATTCACTATACCGCGTTAGAGTTAATTACTACTTTAAGACATTATAGAAGAAGTATTGGAAAGAACGGACTGGATTTCGGGAGAGAGTCCAATTTCGCTGCTTGTAACGAGATCGGCTTTAACCGGCAACGGACGGGCGCTGCATTTAGATTAACAGAAAGCTATCTTCGCGAACGGTCAATCGTGAGTTGCAGACACACCGGACGCGTCGCTGAACGCTGGCAGGGTAGATCTGATGGTTTTACTGACCTGGCGAGAAGCCAGAGACACTTGTTGCCGCGAATGAAATGAGAATAGAGCGAGCTACTACTCGTCGACCATTAGCCGTGGATTAAACGCGCCTACGAGGCACTGTATCTCAAAGCGCGACAAAGTGCAGGATTTATTTCGCTTTGTAACTGTATTGATGCATTCGCAACAAGACTCACTTGCGCTGCTTCTTCTCGAGGAGGTTATTCCTAGCGGTCTGTTCTTCCAACAGCAATCTGAGATCGTGCATCTCACCGTTCAATTTTTGAACTCGTCGTTTCCACTGTCCGACGACTTGTCGTTGCTCCTCCACCTCTTCGTAAGCATCGGCCAACTGTTGGACAGAGCGAGAACGTGATGATGATGCTTGTTGGCGATTATAAAGGTAGTAACTCTTGACGTACCTTCTTCTCCAACTGTTTCTTGAGTCCCACCAGCTGCTCCAGATCGTCCTCGTGCTGCTGTGCCATTTTCCTCTTCGTGAACTCAAGTTCCCGGATGGCATTTTCGTACCGTTGCCTGTAAACACCGCTGTCCTCGCCCTCCTCACCATCGGAAGCTACCCCGTTCAAATCGGCAGCCCTCGCGTATAACAATTCCATCTCCAGCCGTTCGGTCGTTTGCTGAAGATTCTTATTAGCCTCGGTTACATCTTGCAACTCCCGCTCGAGTCGCAGACGCTCCGATGTCTCGGCATCGATTCTCTCCGCCGCTAATGTCGACGTAGAGTGCTCTTCGGCAAAGTCTGCGGTCATCTCGCTCAGCTTGAACAGAGAAACACATATCTTACATAAGGAAATCAGACGCGACACGTGATATTATAGGGATACTACGAATCATCATTACTTCATGCCTTGTACGATTATTTGCTCTGTTGTGCGTCTGTTAGTTTTAAATATGTCCAAAATTGAATTAAAATAAATTGTGCATATAAAATTTGTTCAAATCTATGATAATATTGTTTTAAACGGAAATTTTTCTTTTATTTTTTTTATCGTAGTTTTCGATTTTTCTTTAATGAAAATTTAAAGCCATCGTTTTTACTCTGCATCGTTACCTCCTGCATTCCCTCCGATAAAGTGGCGTCCTCCGAAGCGCGAGACAAAGAGCGCCTCGACGGACTCTTTGTTACGCTGTTCGATCTGCTATAGTACTGATAACCGCGTATCATGATATTCGTAGCGCTCTGACTTCTTCCGATTATGGCACGAGACTTATCTCGCATATGCGGCAAACTTATCGTCTCGTTGTCTATCTCGTCCTTGTGACCGAGGCTCCGCCACTCGTCCATAATATGATCGGTACGTTTCAGAAACTGGGAGATCTTTGAGGAGAGATACGACGAGGCGGTGGACGGTTCCAAGTGAGACGCGGTAGGTCGAAAGGACTGCTTTACTCTCTGCCGTTCGCAGCCCAAAACGAAATTGAGACTCGCGTCGAACACGACCGGAGCCTGTTCTTTGACCAGAACATTCTCCATCGACGGCGAACGCGTACTCTCGCGAGGATACGTTCTCCGTGGCGGAGTCGAGAAGTTGGGCGAGCCCAGCTGAGAGCGACTTCGCAAGGAAGCGACAGACGGCGACCTCATTCCAGCGGACAAGGACTTTGCGCGATAAGAGACACTGGAGGAAATACTGCAAGGAGAAGGACTTCGCATCGTGAGATTCGAATTGCTAGCGACATGGCCTCTGCTAGATGGTCTCTTGTGATGGTTGGAATGCGGCGGCAAGGGTGGTCTCTTCGTTAGGGCCTTCGTGGAATCGGGTGAATTCGGTAAACCGTTGGTCAGACCGCTCATCGAATCGTTTCTTTCGATTGTTTCGTCCGAGCTGGTGGTCTCCAACGCGTTCAGATGCCAATTATCGTGAGGGAGAGAGAGAGTATCCGGATACCTTATCGGCATGGAGGGCATCTTAACGATTGATCCAGGGAAGTTAATTCAGGAATATTGGTACGATGTATTATTAATCCGATCATAAAACGAGTGATGCATTAAACAATTTTCCCGAGACAGAATCGTCGCGATTCGCATTTCAAGTTATTTTCTTCGTACTTCGTATGTACTTCATTTGTACTGTTGATTTAACGGCTGCGATTTTGAGATGCGAATTGCGTAACATCGAATGACAACGAAGACGCCCGTGTCGGCAAGGAGTCGCGATGCAACTGCCTCTTCCTGGGCTGACTCGCCGCCGAGGGCGTCCGTTAGAGGAGGCGGTCACCTCCGAGTTATTCTAAGGGGAAGACGACGAGAAAGAGAGGACCAGCGAGGGAGATAAAGGCGGATAGAAACATGCGAGACGGCAATTCTGGCTATTCGCCAGATTCTCCGTTAAATTTCGTGAGAAAAGTATCGAGAGTAAAGAAGGAAGGGAGAACATAATACTCTAAACTCTAAAGCATTTCGACAAGGAATCTAAGAATTATATCTTTGCATTTGTAAAAATAGAACGAAGAGAAACGGCGGGAAAAAAAAATTGCCGCGCTGTAATAAAATCACTTGAAGAAATTCCAACATATTAATAACATTCAAAGAAATTATGATGCAAAATTTATTGTCATTTACTAGTTGCGTTGATGACTAGTAAATCATTAAATAATGGCTCTTTCTAGTCAATTATTTTTTTTTTATATATTAACATATATATATGTGCAAGACCCAGGAAAGGTATTTTCTCGAGCAACTTATAAGGATGCACGGCGTTTTTACACATTAGCGGCCGACTAGAATGATAGTGTAACGCGTGCGGTTTAATACCGGTCGAGTCACGATAATAGTCGCGCACACTCGACACGAGCCGTCTGGCGTGCTTAACCCAATTGCGCAGCGTGCGTGCCGCGAATGCCTAAACGGGCAATTTCGGCTTAATGTAGCCTTCGAGAGCGCTTCTATTAGAACTCATCACGCGGTCACACGCGAAATCATTGCGGTAGAATGAGGAGAGGTGCAATTTGCAGAGGCGCGTTTAATATTTTTAAAGCCACAAGACGTCGTTTTTTAGCTTGGCGCAAAAACATTGCGTAATTGTAACTGAAGGTGGATATTCGCGTTGGATTATAATATTCCTGTTGCCGTCGCGCAACTCACCTTCGCCTCTAATTTGTCATTGTCGTGTTTCAGATGATTACGTTCCTGCTCCAAGCGCTCCACTTTTGCCTTGAGAAGCTCGAGCTCTTCCTATTGAAATGAAAAAGTGCATTAGAAGACAATGATAGAGTGCGTGGATAAACTGTAACATACATGTACATATAGATAACTGTTTTCTCACCGTTCGCGCCTTCAGCTGATCTTCGGTCCGATGAACGTTCAACAAGGGCGCAACTTTCACGTACAATCTCCACCAAGGCCATTCTCGCACGGACATTAGCTTCCTCACGTTCCTTTGGATGCAGCGCACTGCGAGATCTTGCAACTGTAAGCAAATTTAATTTCTTATTTTGCTTCACATCGTTATTATGGATTACTGAAACGTTATAAATTATCATTAAAGCGAAAAAAAAGGTATAAATGATGCGAGCATATATTTTTTACACTTTATTTTTCTTCTTATTCGGCAAGTGAGAAAAGAAAGATTTTTATAAAGGTACATGTTAATTCAAAGCCATTAATATAAATTAGATTGCGATTTTTAAACGCCGCGATTTCTGCATTAATCGAGCAAAAATGAGCGAAAGTGTTTTTTTGCGGTTTCTCATACGTAACAGAGAGAGAGAGAGAGAGAGAGAGAGAGAGAGAGAGAGAGAGAGAGAGAGAAGTTTTCCTTCCAAATATAACCATGTTAGAGAATATTTCAAATTTGCAAGAGAGGAGAATAAGTGACCCACTTTCAAAGTATTGAGTCTGCGCCGCGCTAGATAGCCTCTGCATCTCGCCTGCAGTAGAATGATGTGGCCCGTGAGTTTCTCGTCCCTCTGAGCCTCCAATCGTTCCAAGGTGCCCGATCTGAAGAATATCTGGGAACAAGAATAGACACTTCTTTAGTTTTCCCATCGATAAATATTAATTGGCGTTTAGAATGCCGGTGTTATTACGATGGTATATTACCATTTAATTATCCTATCTTAATCAAGCGCGATTTATCGAGAGAAATAATCGACTATTAATAACTATGTAATAATAACGTACATCGTACGATGTAAGAAGAATCGCGTATTAAATTCGAGTTCATGGGCTATGAAAATGTTAAGATATGCATGGCATAGTTTCATGCTGCTTTCATCTCGTATGGAAATGAAGGATAAACGTGTACGCATATAGCTACTGGAGCGTGACGGCGCATCGTGGCATCTCGATTGCATTAAATACTTTTACATAAGACTATGTAATGAAAATGTGTTGAGCATTAATATAGTTACGTTAACGCACACTTTCAATTATACTCTAATGCAGTTTCATAATTCTTAAGTGAGGAAATCATATGTTTTAAGAGATTCTAATCATTCTAATCATAAAGTAGCCATAATCGACGTTTACGTGAAATTAAAGTATTAATTTAAAAAAGGAGATTCAATCCATAGTGATTTTCTCTAGCAGATTTTCTCCCTATTAACATTTCATTATACAAAATCACGATTCATTTCCCAATGTGAATGATGAACGCGTGTTGGATACGCAGAGAAATTAACGTGTTCTAATTATTCAGTCGACCTTCTAATTACCGAGCGCTATCAGTATTTAAAGCTAACCGTGCGAGACCGTAATCGTTGGACACGGACCTGTCGTCCATTTTCCGAGCATCTGTCGTCCCGGCAGTTATCGGTACTGCTAGCATCACTGGACATCAAGGGACTATTCCGGTTAATGACGGCCTTCTTCTTTTCAGGCTCGGCCAGCCTGCGAATGATCGTCGGTTCAAAAATCTTCACATCGTTGCTATCGTCGTCTCGATCGATCCTGTCAAAGTACTGCTGTCCCTTGAACTCGTTTATCTCTTTTTGACTTTGATTCTCCATAGTTTCCTTCCATTCCACTTCGTTCTCATTGCTCATGTGACCGCTGTCCTCCGAACAGTTTCCGTCCGACGCGTATCCACTGTACTCGTTCCCGCTCTTGGACTCGTTCTTCTTCAAAGCAGGCGTGTCGATGATAGGAACGTCCACAGACCGCGACTTGATCAGAACCTCTCGCGGAGGCTCATTGGCGACTTTAATGTTTTTGCAATTGAAAAAGTTCACCAGATGTTCGATATCCTTGGCTCTTTTACCGACAATGCACCGCTTCCTCTTCGTCTCCTGCGCGTCGTCGACGATGTCGTTCCCAATTCGTGCCGCCTTTGACAGGTTGACGGTCATCCTTCCGGAATTCGCAGCATGGATCTTTTTCGGGCCGGTATTTTGATTCGTGATTCCTCCGATCTGTTTTTCCCAATTGCGCTTCAACTCTTGAATGGAATTCAGATTCTCCTTATTTATCTTTAATTCCTTGGTAAATTCATCCGGTTTTTCGCAGATCTTGATTCGATTAAATGTAGATTCTTTTATAACAGATTCTTTTTTTTGCAAATCTTTTTCTGATTTTACATTAATATCTTTAGAAATAATTGTTTTTTTTCTCTTTGCTTTTTCGTCGGCTCTCAATATTTCATGGTTCTTATCATCCTCAAAGTCACATTTCTCTATACTAGTATTATTTTTGCCGTTGCGCGGAGTCTCTCGATCCTCGTAGACAGTTTCCGTTCTACACGGAGGAGCGACATCCACGACATCCACTGACACAATTGTCTCCTTGGGCTCCAAATCGTTTTCCAATTGTGCCATTAATCGCGCGGCTCTCTCCTCGAGGTTGCTCATCGACGTCGACCTCGGAGAGTTGAACTTGGACGCGCGGTCTAGAGTCTTGCGACAATTCTCGTAGATACGCTCGTTCGATGAGGCATCGAGATCGAGCTCGAAACTGACCGTCGTCTGGCAGACTGTCTCTTCGGCGCGATCTACTTGCGATAGATCGGCGAGAGATCGGCCGAGACCGGTGGATCGAGTCGCCGGAAGCGGTATCTTGCTCGGCCTGGAGACCAAATTTAGTCTCGCGGGCGCGCCGAATGATTTCCCGCATTGACTGTTATCCGCTCTCGGGGTCCGAACGTTCCACAGACTGGTAGATCTGTTAATGAGAGTTAAACCCTTTCCCGACGATTCCGCCTTCTTTTCCTTTTCCGTCGATCTTCTCTCTGAAAAAATTGAAATCCACCGCGGGTTGATTGCGGGACTCGTTTGATTGTCCGAGGACACGGAGCTTAAACTGACCGAACGATCCAGGAGGCTCTTTTGTCGCAGGGCCTCGGGTTTTGCCGGCCTCTTCTCGGGCGTGTAAGTGAGGCCTTTCTTGAGCAACGCCCTGTCCTCTAATATCGTGCACGTGGAAGACGAGCTGATCGACTTGCAGATTTTCCTCTTGTCGTTACGTGCAGCGGACGAGACAGTTTTTGTCGCATCCGGTCGGGCTTCGTTCGGGGATCGTTTCAGAGGCTTCGAAGACACGACGAGTCGAGATTTCGAGGAATCCGAATTGATAGAGGCACGTCGCGACGAATTAACCGCGTCGTTAGGCGTCTTGATGGATATCCTCGAGGTCGTCGGTGGTTTTGCCAAACGAGACGATTTGTTCGGAGCGATCGTGGGACTCGTTGTTGTCTGGTTTGATTGATTCTGCTTTCTGGCGAACGAAAGCGCCGTTTTTGATACATTTGGACTGCTTTTGGCCTTAACTAAACGCGAACCGCCGCCGGTCACGTATTTAGATACGTTATCAAACATGTTGACGAAAAATCTAAGGTCAAATTCGATAATGGAGTAAGGAAGTCGTTATTTCTACTGGAAATAGCGTACTCCAATTCTAGTGTCTTTCTTCGAGATTTTTATATTGCTATTATAATAATTATTATTATAATAGTTGTTGCTATAATAAATCATCTTGTTCTCTCGTCATGTATCACAGTTTTCATGCATCCTCGAGTCAATTTTCCAATACAATGAGAATTAGCGTATATTTTTGTATGTCCAAATATGCCTTCTCTCAACAAAAATTAACTTTTTGGCTTTTTCGTGTTATCGCCTTTTTTATCAATTCAAATATTTTATTTTTTGATATAGCATTTCATTATTTCCTTCTCATAATTTGGTTTTGATGTAATTCAGTAAAGATTGAAGACGTGTTAATTACCGCGATGTCTCTTTAATTAAATGTCGATTAAGCATAGCTTTGAATTCATCACTCTGTAATCAACCGATAATTTTTTTATGTGTGAGCATTTGTCATTTGTAAGCTGGTGAGACGGAAGTAATTATGGTAAACAAAAATACAATAATGTCTCGAAGAAAAGTGTTTATCAATTTTGAAACATTAAACTCTAACGATTCAAAGTTTAAATACGCATTACTTGTCGGTAATAAGCGTCTATTATTTCCGCCTCATCATCATTTCAAATAATGTTTTTTGCAATTTCTTTGCCCGACATTAAGCAGTTCGTTACTTCGCGCAAATTTCGCGCACAGATAAACGTGTATATTCATACATATATATACAAACAATATACATGTAGATACTCGTAGGTTTATCTAAATATCAGATTCAATTGCAAAAAGTATAAAAATGCAAAAAAATCACACAGGTACTCTGTAAAATTAAAAGACATTTAGTCACACGCGCGGAGAATTGTGTGCTTAATGGCTTGTTATCAAAGTCAGGTTGTTAGCCGCACTTGTCACCTCGAGATCGCATCCCCGATCACTGACACCAGCGCTGGGACCGCGATAATTCTCGCACTTGCACGCGTTGCGGAATGAATGGTCGTTGAGCCTTTTCCTCTCCTCTGCCGCGCAGAACGAGTCGCGACTAAGTGCCGTAAAAGCCGCGTAAAAGTGTATACGCATCCGACTGCGAGGACAGAAGTGAAGAAGCGAAAGAGAGAACGGCAGAGATGACGACAGGAGGAAGGGATGAAGGAGTGAGGGAAATAAAGGGGAGAGAATCGAGAGAGGGACCGGTGAAGAGAAAGGGGCAGATTATCTTGAGAAGCCGGTTACCACACGTCTCGGCCTGCAACTCTCAACTGGCAGGAAGATGCAGCTGGTTAATGCCCGGGTGCCAGCTTATCATTTTCATAGAAGGGAGACATCGTGTCTTCTCGCTCCGATAAATCGAAACAAACCGGAAGACATAATAGCGAGAAATGCCCGTAATGTTGCGATTTATCGAGAGATTTCCGATGGGGATGGTATCGGCAAAATTACTGCGAAAGAAAGATTTCCAACTGTATCACGTATTTCTAAAGACAGATGATAGCGAGACATATACATTGAATTTAATTTTCTTCATTTGATTCACCGGTATCACGTTTCCTTATGATGAAATAAATAGATCATTAAGAGACGCTAATAAACGAAGAAACGGCGCGTTAAATTTGCTGTGACTTGATTAATTAAACGCGCAATAGGGGTATTGTGTAAAGCACATTTCGTAATCCTGACCGCTTCTCTTCCTCTCCTTAATTACACGAC